CATAAGAATATATATATATATATATATATATATATATATATATTTAATAATCCTTTTTTCAATTATATTTAGCTACTTATTTTATATAATTTATAATTATTCTCATTATAAACATTATATCAACATAGCTAGGTACTTACTCAAACCAAAAATGTGTCCAATATTCGGACATATATTTCTTTTGCCGTGAAACTCAGTGTCAACTCATGTAAATTTTCTTCTTTCTCATAAGCTATAATGAGACTAGTTATATTATTCACGTAATATACTTTTATTTTTTAATACTATTTTTTCTTTTATTTTTTTTTATCTCATCATTTATCTTATTTCACAACTTTCTCCCTTGTTTGCCAATCTATCTCGTGGCTAATAATTACTTGTACAATTTTATTGTACTAAAACAATTTCAAAACGAGATAACTCAACAACACCCCCCCCCCCCCCCCAAAAAAAAAAAAAAAAAAACCCCCAAACCCCCCCCCCCCCCCAATAAAAAAACTTCAAATGACACATAGATGTTTAAAAATAAAAAAATGGAAATAAATAAGAAAACTATGAGAAGATAATTGAGTGGAATTATAAAATAATACACAATTTGTATCAAAAGAATTTTTGCAATCATCTTTGTTGAGATGTTTTCACTGTTTGACATGGAAAATTTACTCGATTGACTAAGGCAACTAACTAATTGAAAACCTATGAAAACTAACTAATTGAAAACTTGGATTTTTATTCGTAATACGAGACAACTACATAATTGAAAACCATACATTCTATACTATAAGGCATACATAGGATTAAGATTGATCTTCAAACAAAATTCGGCAATGTTATATGCTTTTACTGGTTGTTCAACTTTAAACCTACATATGCGTTACGGTAGAAATAATTTATTGTTGCTATAACTAACTGTGTATATGAAAAAGACATTATTGAGGGAAATAAAACCAACATATTTCAATAATTTTTCTATAATACATCACCCTAATTAATAGTCTTCATAAAATTGCTACCAAAAATAAAAAATGAACCTACACTAACCACTTTATGAACGATGTATACAGTCTATTGCATCACTTTTAAAATTTTCTTTGTAAATATATTTATCTTAATTTTATCAATTAGAATTATCTCCTTCCTCCATTGTCCCATCAAACTAAAATTGTCAAATTGTCAAACTAAAATTATTTATACTTTGCCTCAATTAACATTCCTTAACATGCTTAGCTAGTTAGCTTCGTCTTAGTTTTTCTTAATTTTGTACCATAATCGAGCTAAATAATTGTGATCAACATTCAAACGCATAAGTTAATCAAACTTGTCATGGAAGTGGATATATAGTGGATCGTCACCCAAGTGTCGATTCAGTCACGTCTATAAAGCTAAGCTGAATTCACACATTGCATTACACTTACGAAATTATATATCCACAAACAATTAGAAACATACATAAATCTGAGAAGTAACCCTAACACTTTTCCAAGAGATCATGGGACTTTGATAAAAAACAACTACAACTGAAAATAAATATGTAAAGTAGCATCAACAATACTATTATATGTAAATGAATATATATGACGGCCATAGTAGCATAAATTTTTTTTTCTTAATGCATATGCATCCAGAGTTAGGAAAAGGAATCAATTAATTATTTTCTTAATTAAAATATCACTAAGTCGACAATTATGATATATTAATAATACCTTTTTAATATATATATATATATATATATATATATATATATATCTTCTAT